CCTCCCTAGTGCTCCTCACTCCTTCCTCCCTAGTGCTCCTCACTCCTTCCTCCCTAGTGCTCCTCACTCCTCCCTAGTGCTCCTCGCTCCTCCCTAGTGCTCCTCACTCCTCCCTAGTGCTCCTCGCTCCTCCCTAGTGCTCCTCACTCCTCCCTAGTGCTCCTCACTCCTCCCTAGGCTTCCCCATCATCCTCCATTCTCCTGCTAGCACCATATGCCTGAAAGCTGGCTTCCTCATCAGGGCACTGGGCCTCTGCTCATGGAGCCCCAAGGCCACATCTGTACCCCCACTGCCCTGGATTTCTCTCTGGCCACTCTCTTGACTGGCCCAGACAAGGCTGGCCTGCTCCCAAGAGACATTCTCTTCACTCAGGGGTCCTTTTCATGGAAGTCTAGCACAGAAGCTAGACTTCAAAGTCCTATGGGTGAGCCAAGCATTGGCAACATGGCTGCCCGTGAGTGCAAATCACTGTCCCTCTGCCGAGTCCAGGCTGTTCTAATGCAGAGCAGCAGAAGCCACTGGACTCTAAACTCCTAGCAGCAGTGTGTGCTATGCTGTGTGGAGGAATGGAGTGGAGAGGGGAATCCCAATGTGCTCTCTGTGGGCTTTGCATCTCCACAGCTGCCCCCACCAACATGAATGGTAACCCTACACCCACCTCTTCCTCCTATCCCAATGCTCTACTTCACCCCACTCCATCACACACAGAGAGAGAGAGAGAGAGAGAGAGAGAGAGAGAGAGAGAGAGAGAGAGAGAGAAATCATGCATACATATTTTAAGTAGGGAATAAAGGTCTGAAGAGGTAGCTCAGCCCTTAAGAACACTTGCTGCTCTTGTAAGAGAATCCAGGTTCAGCTCCCAGCATCTACATGGTGGCTCACAACTGTCTGTAATTCCAGTTCCAATGGGATTCTCTTCTGGCCTCTGCAGGTACCAGGCATGTGCATACATGGAGGGAAATACTCATACACACCAAAAAAATTAATAACTTTTAAAGATAGGCATAGACACACACACCTGTGTACACACACAGCTACAGATGCTCTTGGGCAGGTATCTATGCAGGCATGTTCACAGAGATGTGCCAGAGAGATACATGCAAATTACAGATGCATGTAGACAGGTCACAATCATATGTGCAGACACAGGCAACCTTTGAAATGTGGGGGTGGGGGCAGGGGGTCAGGAAGGTAGGTTAGGCAAGAAGCAGGAAGCACCCCAGGGGTCTCTGGGAAAAACTGTTCATAACACTCAACTCTATAGCCTGCTTCTGGCTAAATTTGGGTTGGAGGAGCATCCAGATGAGCGGTGGTCCTTAAATCCTGCATCCCTGTCTACAGGTTCCTCTGGATGCTCCCTCCGGGTCCTGTGTATCAGCTGGAACTGGCAGACACCTGGTGCCTGGAAAAGTTCCAGGGGGAGGCTCCCTGAGTTCAGTGGACCAAGTCAACACACTGTACCTTCCCTTGGCTTTGGGTGATGCAAGCAGACTCCCAGTACAAAAAGGGGACAGGGTCAGGCCTCAACAATCCTCACTCAGGTCCAAGTGTCCATGGGCAAGCCTGGGAGAACACTTGGCAGTCTCTTTCAAATATGGCCTTCTTAATCCAGTGGCTCCTCGCTGCCTTTCAGAAGCCTCCCACTTGAGCGAAGAGTTCTCCAGCCTTACTTTGCCTATGGCTGCTATAGCCCAGTGACAGAGTTCCAGCCCATGAACTATGAGAAATTATGTGTAGATCACTCCTAAGACTGTCCCAGAGAATAACCTCACATGCCCAAGCTTACTCTAAATGGATGGATGGGAATAAATCAGACCAACAGTGTAGCCCTAAATGCCCATTGATGAAGGCAGCAGGATCATTTTCAGTTTGATTCCTTGAGGTATGTAGAACGGTACCTGTTCTATCTCCTACACATACATACCACATGCAACACATGCACACACACACACACACACACACACACACACACACATGCATATGCACACACAGTCTGGAACTATGCTGCCCTACTCCATGGATAAGATAAAAGATAAGCAATTTTTGCTAAGTTGAGCAAATGATGTGTGAGAGTCTATTCATTACTTTCTGCAGTCTGGCCTGCCTGACAAATACATTCTCATAGTACTAATCACAGAGTATGTGAATAACTATTATACCTCCTCAGTAGACGGTATAAGAATAGAAACCTTATCAGTAATTCTACAGCTGCAGCAGGCAGCTAGCCCTGAAGCACAGCCCACGCCCAGTAAACAGCTGGTGACTACATGGGTGCCTCATGCCTCAGGACAGCTCTTGGTCCCTGTCCCTGGATCAGGCAGGTATTAAGGGGCCAGGCACACAGGGCCAGAACTCACCTTCTTTACTAACACCCAGGCATCCCTTCAGCTCAGGCAGTGAGATGACCTTGTCCTTGTTCAGGTCACAGTAGTCGGTGAAACGCCGGGCACATTTCTTGGGCTTGGCTTTCTTCTTGACGTAGCGCTTGAACGGCTTCATCTCCCGCTTGTTGATGTCGTCACTGTTGTTGCTATCCAGCTGACTGAAGTACCAGTGTGCCACCCGCTCCTCCAGGGTATGGCTGGGATCCGGCTCTGAGAACCTGGGCCGTGGACAGACAACCCCACCCCAGAGGTTAGGCACTTGTCCCTGCCAACTCATACTGAAGTTACAAATGTGTCTGTTGGGGAGTGAGGGTAGACCCTTGAAGCGAGATTAATGGCCTTCTTATGAGACTGGGTGAGATCTTATGGAAACAGGTTGGTTCCCACAAGGGTAGGCTGCTATGAAGCAGATACCCCTGCCCCCCATCTTTGCCTGTACTTCTACTACTACTTTCCACCGTGAGTTAGCTGAAGCTGTAAGAGCCCCTCACCAGAAACCAAATCGATGCTGGCATGCTCTTGGACGTCCAGAACCATGAACCAAAATAAACCTCTTTTCTTTATAAATTACCCAGCCCAGGGTATTTTGTTACAGCAACAGAGACCAAACCAACACCATCTTCATGCTGGGCTACCAGCCATCAGGTAGCAATAGCTCTTTCCTTAGGGATCTATAAAGTGATCCTTATTTCATTGACCTGCCTTGCCCTCTGAAAAAAACAGGACATTTCTTGTGCAGATAGGCACTCAAGACAAAAGACATAGATCTAGTCCCCCTGAGTAAACCATGTCTAGGATCTAAACTGTATTCTCTTGACCCCACAGATCACTGCCAAACAGGATGCTTTCCTGAACTTGTATATGGGTACCAGCACTGAGTATTTATCACACCCAGTACCCAGCTCTGGAGATGTCAGCCTAGCCTCAAGCTGTTCCCTGTCTCAGAAGAGCAGAGCCCAAAATATGAAGACTGGCATATGGGGTGTGTGATGTCCCCACGACCTGTGGCTCTGTGCTTATGGGTGGAAGTCCAAGGTTCATGTCAGGAGTCATTCTTGATCAGTACCTCACTGCATCCACTGAGGCAGAGTCTCTCCATTGATTGAAGGCGCGTTTCCCCTACAAAGATGGTCTAGCTCTGTGCCCACCTTCTGAGTGCTGGAATTATAGGTGCACTCTCAGCATTTACATCAATTATTGAGACCTGGACTCTATCCTCATGTTTGCTGCTTGTACTCCGACAGCTGTGCCACCCCCTACTCCCACCTCTCCCCACCAACCCCAATTGGGATGAGTCTCTACAGCCTAACACTTCCACTCAGGAGGTCTGGGGCAGCCTTAGGAGATCATATGCTAACCAGAGACCCAGCTAGTTCTTAGAGAAACTAAAGTGACCAGGGACACACCATGGTGCCCAAATACATAGTGATGACCACATCTGGCACAGTCCATAACTATGGACCACAAAATGACAAAGCCAGCGTCTATGTGTATAAGTACATGCAATGGTCTACCTATCTGTCTCATTATTACTTAATTATTTATGCATCATCTTTACTCAGAGAAGTTAGAGTGATACTAATATTTACAGTGTTGAAAGCCAATGGTAGGTCAGTTGCAAAGGGGTTGGTTGGAGTTTCTGAACAGAAGAAGAAAAGAGACGCACAAGTATCCTGTTTCAGTTCCTGGGGCCTGACACTGACTATGAGCAAGGATCCATATTCAAATGCCTGGGTGACTTGCCCCTGGGGAGGGGATAAGGATGAGGTTGAGATCCTGTCCATTTCAAATGACTGGTGTGCAGGGTCTGCAACAGAGCCTTGATAGAGGAGTTCACTGGTGAGCAGGGATCCTAGACCAGGCAATCAGGACCTGCTGGCACACTCTGAAGACACACCTGGTTAAAAAAAAAATGTCCAGGGTACACCTCTCTCAGGTTTGCTTTATGTTCTAGAAAGGAGGGGACCCCTTCTCACCCCTGCCCAAGAACAAGCTGGAGACCCCCATCTTGCTTCACAGTGACTCCTAAGGGACATGAAGTTCAAGCAAAAGAAGCTGCATTACTGAAAAAAAAACAGTCATCGCTGTCCAGCCCATTCAGTCTTGGGTAAATCCCCTGGCACCCTGGGTTCTAAGAAGCATGTCAGTAGGGCCTCATCCTGACAGCTTCCACCCAGAGAGAACCTTAGGGAAGGTGTGACAGAGCCACACCGAGTTGTCACTGGCCTTTGACTCCTAGGGAATCCGCTTAATCTGCCACGGAAACCAGGTGCAGGAAGTCTGAAGCAGCCTGGCATTCTCTGAAGCATGTCACCGCCTGTGTCCAAGTGTTTTCACTTTTCGTTTATCAGCCGCTGCGCCTGCTCTCACAGCTGCCCCTGCAGTCCACACAGGGTGGGCAGGCTGAACCTCGGTAGGGATGCTCGGGGTGCAAGAAGGGGAGGCCCCCAAGCTCTGGAGGAGAAGGGAGCTCCTAAGGAAGGCTCTCTCAGGGGAGGCAGTCAGGGAGCTGTGAGAGCCCCGAGGCGAAGGCAGCTCTTCCTTTAACCTTTAGGCTTCGCATAGCGTAATGTCTACCCAAAGGCTGGAATAATAAAGTCTGGGTCCCTGAGACGGGAAGGGATGAGGTCATCCCACCCAGAGGCCCTGCCAGGGAAGGCTTTCTCCCTCCAACACATGTTCCTGGAGCACCCTCCTGTCCGCCTGTCTGTTCTCTGTGATCAGAGCTCTCCTCCCTACCTACCTTCAGGCTATTTCGCACCAAGCAGCAGCTCTCTCTTCCTTGCAAGCTCTGAGTTGGCCAGGGGGTGATTATCATCTGGGCCCATGCCTCTGCCCTCCTGGCTCTCCTCCATCCCTCTTTGCTCTCTCATCAAGACCTTGCAGTGCAGAGCAGCCCTGATTCCACACTGCTAGCCTGAACTCCCTGTCAGATGCCAGCCCACGGCAGAATGCTGGGCTAAATGCAGGACACCATTCTTCGGAAGAGGCCCTCTGAGTTACTTCCAAGACCCCAACCCACAGCCTACCCTGTGGGGACTAAGGGTTCTGCCTCTGTCCCAACCCCTCCCCTCAATCCCAGCTATCATGGGGCTCTACCTTTGAACCCCTCTATCTCCAGAAGTCCCCTTAAATAACAAAGCCTCAACTCTGCCTCAAAGCTGGGGGATGGCAGGGCCATACTTGGGAACCCAACACCTTTACCATAACACACTCTAAGAACCTTTATACTCCTGATCCATCATCAGTCCTGGGGTAGCCAAACCAACACTGAGCATGTATGTGCAAGAGAAGACACCAGAGACCTCTGTGAATTGAGCAGTTCTGAGATTCCCTCAGCAGGGGAGTGCTAGAGAGGGGTGAGGCAGAACATGAGATCTCCCCAGATTTTCCAGGAGCCTCTCAATCCATCTTTGCCGGAGTCCTTGACATCACAGACTCCTGCCATTTATACCCTGACCTCAAAGTCACGCCCCACCGGCCCCTCCAGTTCTCACAACTCTCTGAAAATATCCTTTTACACTTTCTTTTTTACACTCATTCATTCTTGTGTGTGTGTGTGTGTGTGTGTGTGTGTGTGTGTGTGTGTGTGTGTGAATACATGTGTGCAGGGGCACATGCCACAGTATACACATGGAACTCTATAGACAACCCAAGGGTGTCAATTCTCTCCTTCCACCCTGTAGATTCTCAGGATCTGACTCAGGTCAGACGTCTTGGTGGCAAGCCCCTTTCACTTAAAGAGCCATCTCGGTGGCTCTGTGGAGGCATCCTTTTACAAACGTCTGCAGCTGGTACCACAGCGTAGGCTAACACTGGTAAAAACAAAAAACAAAAAAACACCTCAATCTTGCTTCCCCATGTGTGCCCGCATGCACACACGCATACACCCCTACTGGGGGCTTGGGATGTTCATCACACTGGAGCTGGGACCCTATGCTGGAGGGGCCAATGGCTCCATAAGGTCAACTGCAGCCGGGCGGTGGTGGTGCACGCCTTTAATTTCAGCACTCGGGAGGCGGAGCCAGGAGGATCTCTGTGAGTTCGAGGCCAGCCTGGGCTACAGCGTAAGTTCCAGGAAAGGCACAAAACTACACCGAGAAACCCTGTCTCAAAAAACAAAAAACAAAAAAACAAACAAACAAAAAAAAAAAAGATCAACTGCATTTATTATGCCTATAAGGACCCCTTCATGGGCAAAGTTCTTCTAAAATGGATACCTGTGTGGGAAGGATGCCCAAGTTTCTTCAGATGTAGTGTGGAAAAGCTACACCCAAATGACCCTCATTCTAGATTCAGGATAGAGTTGCTCCGTGACTCTGCCTTTGGGCTATTTTAGTAACTTCTGCCTTCAGGGACAGGGAAACCCACTGGAGCCAGGTCCTTCCCTGAACAGACACACTCAGCCTTCTCCCAATATTAGGGTTGGTGAAGGCCATCCTTCTGCGGCACTTTCAGTTTTGATTCTGTGGCCTTGGCCCTGGCAGGTTTTGGCTGTAACACACAGCTGGAGAGCCAAGCCCATTTACCACAACCTGCTTTGGCCAAGATCTGGAGCCCAGTTCTGCTGTCCTAAGCAGTTTTAGAGAAGGTAAGGAGGGCTGGCCAGGAGGCCTGAGCCAAGCCAAGCAGACCGACCGAGCCCCATCTGGAGCTGGGTCCAAGCTCCACCAGCTGTGCGGGTGGAGCTGGGAAATGCCAAGTCAGCCACATTCCAGACTCTTCCTTGCAAAGCCATCCACAGACAACCAACTTCACCGAACCAGGAGGATGAGGCCACTCCACTGGCCTCGTCTCTCCTTAGGAGGCAGGTGAATGAGTAGGAGACCCACACAGACAAGGCTGGCTGGCTCTCCCTAGAGTGCCCTAGAGACTGACACCTAGGTAGATAGCCTTCCTTCTAGACTGACAGTCTAGCGGATGGGTAGATGGCTGATCCAAGAGAAACTGTTGCCTTCCAGAGCTCTGGTGGAGGGAGCCAAGGGCATAAGTTAATCATCCAGCAAGAGGCCAGTGAGGAAGGCTGTCACCTAAAGATTTGTAATGACCCTGTGCCTGTACCAGTCACAGATGTTCCTACAGACACCCAACTCTACATTGTCTAATTTTAGATCTGGGCAGCACTGTTTTTGGCCACTCAATCAGGCTAGGAGGCCAGAGCGGGAAACTGGCACCTCCCTCCCTCCCTCTCCCTGCCTCTACCCAGTCTTGAGAATCTATTTATTTCATGCACAATGTTTCAGTAAATCCTCCCTCACTGCTGGGTGATGCTCCCAGCACCCTCCTGCTGTCGACTGCTCTCCTGGCCCCCTCTTAAATTCCCCTGCTTTTGCATCCGAATGCCATCAGAATGGTCATTCAAAGGTGCTCTCAGCCACCGTGGTCCCTGATGCCTCTGGCATGACGCGGTTGGCCCAACACAACCTGGGCTCTGTCTGGCTCTGCAGCCTCATCTCCTGCTTGCCCACACCACACCCCAGACCTAATCACACTGCTTCTGCCACTCTTCCCATTATGCCCCTTGTTCCTCTCTCATTGCCCACATGTTCCTCTGCTGAGAAGCCCTCACTTCCGGTACCACTGGGTCCCGTGTGTCGTCCCCCCCCACCCCACCCCCACCCCCCCACCCCCCGTGTAAGTGGAAAGTCACCTGTATCGTCAGCTCTCACATGCCCTCTCTGCCCTGAGTCCTGGAAGCTCTTACCAGCCTCTATGATCACACCGGCTTTGTAATATAGTCTCCTGGGTGTATACCTCTCTTCCATGCCAGAAGCATGCCCTTTTCTTCAGACGTCCCCCCAGAAACAAGCATGGAGCTTATACCAAGGGCAGGCTGAGAAGTGCAAAGCCATATCTGACAATGACCATGTCTGACGCGTTGGAGGAAGGGATGATTGACTTTCTATGCTGCCCAAACATCCTCTCTCCCTTCTTCCCACAGTCTCGATGTGGGACTGTTTCCCACTGATATCCCACTTTAATTGTCAGACCCCGAGGGAAGGGTTGGGTGTGGCTTCTTGACCCTCCATGCCTGCAACCCCAGCTCTCAACTCCAAAGCCAAGTCCAACACCCAGGATCTCTGCATTTCCTGACTCTCTTCATCAGCCCTATTCCAGAACTGCTGCTCAATCTCCAGCAGCCCCATGCCCCCTCCCTTGCTCCTCCATCCCGGAAGAGCGGCTGGCATCTGTCTATACAGCATCCTGTGTCCATCAGACCAGGGCAGAGTGCTGGAGGGCCCTGCTTACAAAACAGTCACAATGAACTTCCATGTTGCATCCAGCCTTACATTTAGTGTTACAATGTCAGATCTACCCCCCTCTCTACCATATCTACTATCCTTCCTACTATGTATCCATTGGCACATGTTGAATATCTACTATGGGATCAAATTCTAGGAATACAGCTGGGAAGGACCTCTGAGAAGAAGGTCTGTCACCACACCAGACAGTCACCAGAAAGGGGGGAATGACATTCTGGACTGAAGGGGCAGCTGGTGTGAGGGTCCCAGGACAGCCAGCAGAACATGTGGAAGGATCAGTGACTGGACACTACAAGGGCAAAAGGCCAGCAGGACTTTCCTGAGGGCCATCCGAGTACAAATCGGGGCTTCTGCTTGATGTAATGGGGAGATCCAGGAGAGCCCAGGAAGGCTCGCAACCCTGGTACCTCCCCAAACAATGCTTCCCCACGGCCTCCCCGTCTTCACTCCACTCTCTTGACTGATTTCTAAACGATTTCCTGATCTGTCTTGTCTTCCTGTTGATTAAAAGTCCAGCCCTCGGGTAACACATATACCCAAAACAGTCCAAACCTCTCAACCCTATCAAAACCAAGAATGATCAAGCTAATACAAGCTTAAAATGAAAACTGAGTTTTGGGAGTTATTTCTTTCAAGTCCTTCCCTCCGGATACATTGGTATGAAAGACATTATAAATTTCCTAGTTTTTAGTGCCTGTAAAAATCTCCTAACTTCCTAACAATCCTAACTTCCCTTGGTGGCAGGGCCTGTCTAGGATCCCCTTCCTGTAGCCAAGACCATGCAATGCAGTCCTGGGATCAGTGGCTCCTGTGGAAGCCAGGGGAGAGGATGTCCCAAAAGAGCTGAGGCAGAACTTGCAGCCAAGACCCTTGAGCTGGTGAGTGGGCCCACCCAGACCTAAGATTTCTGTACCCATGCCTCCTACCTTATTTATGTTTTCTCTCCTTTTTCTAAACAACCTAAAAACAGTAGTTCTCCCTGTTACATTCTAAGATCCCCAATGATGCTTGAAACTGCTGACAATACTGAACTCTAAATGCACTGCTTTTCCCTACGGTCTGTACCTACGAAAAATCTTAATTTACAAATGAAGAACGTGTATGCGTTAAGCAGCAGAAATAACTAATAATAAGATCATTATAACAAAACATCATGGCAATAAAAGTTATCATAAGCTTATAAATTGTTTTCTTTCTAGAATTTTCCAATTAGCTGTTTGCGTCTGCAGTTGGTTAGGTACAACTGAAAGCATGGGAAGTGAGACAGAGGACAGAAAGTCACTACTGCAATTCATGCCCCGGTTTTTCATCAAAGAGCTGCTGTTGAGCAAGCTCTGGGCCATTGCATGCGATAGGCATGTGACAGTGAGCGTTTGTAACGCTCACCCTTCCCCTCTTCCTGACAACCAGGCGCATGGCCTCTGTTTCAGATGCTGAGCCGCTGAGCACTGTGGGAAGCCTGGAAGCAGCTCTCATCCACCGCCTGTCAGACCCTGTCTCCATCTTTCTCAGATTTTCTCAGATTTTGGCACGCCCCAGGTAAGAGGAAACAGAGTCATTATCAGAAGCCTGCCTTGAGCTCATGAGACCCTGAAGTACACAGATCAGGCACCCAGACAAGTATTTTAAAGAAATAAGCCAGGCGGTGGTGGTGCACACCTTTAATCCCAGCACTCGGGAGGCAGAGCCAGGTGGATCTCTGTGAGTTCAAGGCCAGCCTGGTCTACAGAGTGAGATCTAGAACAGGCACCAAAACTACACAGAGAAACCCTGTCTGGAAAAAAATAAAAGAAAAAGAGAAAAAGAAATATAGCTGGTGTACCCTGTTTTTTCCTTTCCTTTCTTCTAAAAATTTTGTCTATGTAAAAACCCAGGACATAAACTCTATTCTCCAGCCAGGATTATAAGAGCATGACGCCGTACTGTGCACCATCAGGATGGCAGCTTAACCAACAACTTAATCTTGACTGACTGACATGTGATACCTATTGACTAAAACGTCCCCATTTCTGCAGGTATGGTTGCACACACCTGTGATCCCAGCACTCAGAAAGCAGAGGCAGGAGGATCACAGCAAGAACAAGGACATTCAGGGCTACATAGAAAGGCATTATTCAAAATGGATTAAAATGAATAAATAAATCAATAAACAAACAAGCCCTCCACTTCCCTCTCCTAACAGCCCTGACAAGCACATTTCTACACCCTGACACTGCAGGTTTGATCCATGTAAATGGAACCATGGTTATTTGTCCTTTGTGACAGGCTTATTTCACTTAGCATAATGTCCTCAATATGACATGGTTGCCTTCTTGAAACTGAAAAACTAGTCCATACATGCACACACCACATTTCTTTATTAACCCATCCTTTGGTGAAATTTAGATTATTACACATCTGGGCCAGGAACGCTATAACTCCGATACAACTTAAATAGAATTCTCAAGCTGGCTGACTTTGTCCAGCTGAGGATGCAAACCCATTACAGCTGTGCTCATGGTCCAAGTCCTCATGGGAAATCCCAGCCAATGGCCCCTGCCACACTTGTCTCTTCTAAGGGGACTGGAGGCCGAGGCCTGTCTATCCACTGTCATTCTTGGCAACAGCTCTGCTTCCAGGGAGATGCTGGGGAATGAGAGCCCCTTTGGTGAGCCACACAAGCCCAGAGCAGGCTGCACATCTTTGCCATGCCCTGGTACCCCTTCTGCTGCTTTAAGGCGTCCAGTGCCCCCACCCTCCCTTCCCTGACCCCTCCACCCTCCCTTCCCTGACCCCTCCAGGCCCTGCTATGCCTCCCCTCTGGCTTTATAACTGCAAGTCTTACTTAGCATGTCTCGCGGGCCCTTAGGACCAGGATCCTCCTCTTCAGCTCATTATCCCTCCCTCATCTTCTCCTATTTCTTCTTCCTCTTTCTCCATCACCCAGCCCTACTGTACTAAATTACACCGACCATACGTTATGGTTATATATTTCTAATATCTGCCTATGGTCTAGTATACCCACTCGTCTTCCTTCTTTGAGGGAAGGAACATGTCTTCTATTCCTCAATACCTTGTCCTTGGCCAAGGACTTGACATATTGGATATATTCAAAGGGTGATCAGATGGTGGATACATGCATGATGGATGTTCCAACCACTGACACAATGGGCCCAAATCAGTTGGCTCCAGATAGTCTGGCTACCAGAGAACATGTGTATTTCAGCTCTGGGACTACTCCAGATACCATATTAATTCCTGAAACAAGTCCACTTTGTCTATGAGAAGATTAGATTCTACTGTCCACAGCTCTTTGCGATTGCCAGGAGGTCAAAGGGATACATGACCCCTGCCTTCTCTGGGAAGGAAAGAAATCACTAAATGCCTATGGTTCTCCCTGCTCTGCCTGGGTGTCCTGTTCTCGTCAGATGCCCACCACCCTTCCTTCCATTAAAGGTTTTCACTCCTGGGGATGTATCGAAGGCAGAATGCTTGCCTGGCACATGTGAGGCCCTGGATTCAATCCCAGGACTGCAGAAAAGACTCTCACTTTTACATCCCCTCCTTTTGGGTAAAACATCTGTAAGTTATCCAAGAGGGCTGCAAACCCTGTTACCAAAGCTAGAGGAAAGCAGATTAAAATTTTTAGAGCCCGAGAAGCAGGAAAATTTTCACCAACAAGTAGAACAAAGCTGTGGGCATGTGCTCGGGAGAAGGACAGACAGATGCCTGGCCCTTGGCCTCTCTCCCAGCCCCCCATCATAACTGAAGAGTCCAGGACTACACCTTACTGCACCTGAGTCTTGCTCACATTCTCACCTCCCACCTCCAGTGGGTGCTGCTGAGTTAATGGCCTGAACCATGTCTGTGGTGAGGGCATCCAGCAGGCTGGTAATAAATTCCATCTTCTTCCCTTCAGGACAGCCTAAAAGACAAGAGGAAACGAGGGCAGAATCCAGGTCACTTACCAAGGCAACAGCTTCCTCAATGATCCCCTCAGAGTCTCTGTCCAGCCAAAGACTGGGGGCGTGTTCACTGCTCAAATGATCACTACAAGCGTCCATCATTCCTCTGTGCATAATCCACAGGGAAGCACCAGACCAAAAGGATAATAACGCGTTCAGCTTCCTTCCATTTCATAAAGTTCTGCTGAGCACCAATACAGGTACTACGCAAATGCTAGGGAGACAACAGATGAGGTTCTTAGCCTCACAGACTTCGCAAAAATTTGCTGGGCCAATGTACTCAAGATAATAACCAGACAGGCACCGTTCATATGAAAAGCGGGGGCAAGAACCAGGTGTTGAAGAGGCGCGAGAGAGGGAGAGAATCCCCCTGGTGCAAGCTGATTTGGGTGGACCTATCAAAAATCTCCTCTCTTTGCCCATCTTTTCCCAGCCGAGAGGGTAACTGAAGACCGGAGCACCTGTCCCAGATCCACGCCACAAAGAGGAGCATTGCTGAGGAAACACACCCCTACCATGGCAGAGACCAGAGTCCTCCTCACCTGAACCAAGCGGGCCCTCAGCGCAGCCGCAGCCCCGCCCCCTGCAGCAGCTCCGCCCTTCTCTCTCCGAACCCTGAGGTCTCCAGTTAAATGAGACCCCTCAGAGCAGTACAGACTCTAGAGTAAGTTCTCCCTGTCACTCCCACAGTGCCTCACTCCTCTCTTGAGGGTACCTGACCTGAATCTCTATGCGCATGCCTTCCTTTATCTTTATACGGCTCATCTCCTCCACTCGGTGAACCTCATGTCCCTGAGCACCAGATCGAACCGTGTCCGGCATGAAGTAGACTAGCTATCCCCAACCTGTCGAGGGGTGGCTAGAAGAAGGGGCCCTGGCTTCCTTGCCTCCAATTCCGTGAATTGGGGGTGAATTCTACTAACCTCACATGGAAAGTCCAGGACTTTTGGGACTCCCCGCTTTCAGTTCTCACTTTGGAGTCCGGATGGGCAATAGGAAGATGGCACCGGTTCTCATCAGTACAGACCGAATCGTGTACTGAGGAAAGACTGCTGGTGAGCATGAATTAGGATGGCTCCCACCTCTGCAGAGGTGTGTGTGTGGGGGGGGGCTCCCCAGCCATGCTCCTCTATGTGGGCGTAGGTCTAAGACAGGGTCACCTGTGAGAAGGTGTCCCCGTGCTTGGGCTTTTTCTAGAATAGTGCACAGAAAAGAAGGACCTGCAAGGATTTACAGGAGAGCGTCTATAATTCTACATACCCTGTATTTAAAATTCTTATTGCAACTTGGAGTTTGCTATAAATCAGGGGAAATCCAGCCTAGTGACAATTTGGGGGTCCTGGGCTTTTGCTTGTATGTCTCATGTCACCCCTAGTGGCCATCCTGTGTCACCAAGGGTCATCATATAAGCATTCCACAGAACAGGTGGCAGACACCACCTAGACCCCTCAGGGAAGCCACGCTTTGTAAGCTACCTTAGTTTTACAGACCCCAAAATGTTGTCCCCGCTTCACCGAGATGGAGATTAACCACGAAGTTCTTGGGACAGAGTTTTAAGGCCGTGACTACATTTTTAAGATGAAGAGGAAGGAGCGTGGGAAGGAAACAATGTTCTCAAGGGCACAGGACTAATTCGGGATGCAAGATTCCATGGCTTCTGGGTCTGTGCTCCTGTGATGGACCTTCCCAGCATGCCTTGCTCTACACTGCCAAACGGGCAAATGGGGAAACAGACGTAGAGGAGAGAGTGACCTCTGTATGGTGAGGGGACGAGAAGCCCAGGGTGTTAGCACCAGCGGGTGTTAGAGCGGCAGTGTCTCCTACCTGGCAACTCCCTGTCCTTGAAAGGGTCATTCGCCTCTGCACTCTTGGCTCTGGCGTCACTCTCACAACTTGGCATCACATAGCTGGGAAGAGAGAGGCAGAGACACGAAGTGGGGGGCTGGCAACTGAGTCTTCAGCCACCACTGCCCAGGAACGATCTGTGTAATCACTAAGCCGAGAGAGTGCCCTCAGGGAGGAAAACAGCCCCTGAACTGTCCGGCAGCTACAAGACAATCTGGCATAAATGCTCCCATTGAGACATGTTCAGGCATGTCATTTTAGCCACACAAGCGTGATAACAATGCCAGCTCCAACCTGCACGTGGGATCCTTTTTTTTTTTTTTTTTTTTTTTTTTATATATAGGACTTCATTCGTAACCTGGGAGGCACAATAAGCTTTTCATTAGGGAACCTGAGAGGTTGAGAGAGATTAAGTAGTTTTCCAAGGTCCACAGCTGGAAAGGAACAGATCAGTGATCAGAACCCAGGTCCCTAGGCACTTCTACCAGACCCTCATCTGCTTTGGAATGGAGACCTCAGTCTCCCATGACCTGCCTCTAAGAGAGGGAGGGCGGTGGTAACAATAACAGCAGCCTAGCCTGAAGCTGGTCCCTGTGTGATGCTCCGAGAAGAGGGCTTACCGTGTGGAAGTCCCAGGCAACGGGCGCCCTGTGTCCACTAGGACACACCAGCAGTAGCCTGTGGACTGGTGACATTGCACCGGTTTATAAAGCCCACCGGGGGCGCACTCGGGGATCACAATGCCCTCACGGGGGTTCTGCCGGGCCTCTTCCAGGGCACTCTGCCTCTCCTGGTCACAAGAGTGGACTTTCTCTGTAAGAAAAGATGCAGCTCCTGGTGACGATTAGGCCTCCTTCTGTCCAGAATCTGTAATAAATAGCCAGGACCAGGCCTGCCCCCAAGGAACTGATGAATCATCCCAGACAACCATGTCTTGCACGCTGCCAAGGTGAGAGCCCCAGAGGGCCAGAGCCTCCCTGTGGCCAGCTACACAGCCAGGGGCTCATCAGCACTTTCACCAAAGAGGCTCTCATGTAGCAACAAGCCAGCCAGGACTTCAGGGCTACTTCTCCAAGCAGCAGTTTACTCCGTAGCTGGAATGTTCCTCCATTTTCAGAGTCATCCCTGCCCAGATACAACTGGGTACAGGCTTCAGAAGAGGCAGTAGCCAGACGGCCCTGCAAGTGGATGCTGGGATGCCTGTGCAGAGGACATCGCCTAGTCCAAGCATAGCAGGACAGAACCACAGACCACCACCCTTGTGCAGGGTGATGTTCCACACCCAAATGAAAGGGCAACAAGAGCCAGCCCTGGCTCCTCTCACCCTCCAACACAGGTAGACAAGGAACGAAAGCTAGTGGGCAGATTCTTCCACCAGACAAGAGCAGAAACAGCGGAGGCAGAAGAGTGTCTGATGCTGGTAGCTTCAGGAACACGTGAACATGTCCAAACAGCCAAGCCAAGTCTCTCCAGAGCCAGGTCCAGACAGAGACTGTAACTGGGGCCCTATGCCAGATGCAGCCAACTCACCGAAGCCTCAATCCTGTAGGACCCTTCCCTGGAAGACCCTGACCATGAAATCACCCTGGCTTCTCTCTTCCGGATTTTTTTTTCTTTTCTTTGTTTGAGTGGGGGCTTCATTTTGGGGGTGTTATTGTTTGATGTGAAATTTTTGTTTGTTTTAATTTTTTGTTTATTTAGAATTTAGAATGTAAATTTTTGTTTATATAGAAAACAAAGCATTGAGTTTGTTTCCTTATCTCAAATAACATTTAAAAAAAAAAAGAAAACCTGTACAAACCATATGGCCCCCGAAAGGGGGAACCCCCCCCCAATCTCCCTTAGATCTTGTCAGGCAAACACCAACACAACTTCAAGGGGGGCTACACCAGAGGCTTGGACAGCTCTCCCAGCTCCAATTTGGTAGCCTCGTTTTCCTACCTCATATTTCATGCCATGAAAGAGCTGATCAGGAAACAAAGGCAAAGGAAAACAGCTTTTACAGGCACCACGTTCGTGTAACGACCTCTGACAGGGGCTTTAAATCAAGACTCTCTAAGGCCAGCCTCGCCAGCCATAAATCAGACCTCGGCAAGATGGGAAGGGGAAGGGGAGGGACACCTCCCCCCTTCCAGGGCAGCGGGCTTGATGAACCTAACCTCACACCAGCGGGCCTGAAACCTGGGGAAGTTGGGGCAGGAGCTGGGCAGGAAGAAGATCAGGCCCATAGTTTGGGCCCTGTGGATGGATTTCTGGACATTCTTAAAGGTTTGCTTTAAGTCGGCTTCTGTGACCACCTATGGGGATTTAAATCATGAAGAAAGGGAAGCTCCCAAATCTAGAAAAATACAGATTAGCGTGGAATTAAAGAGAAGACTAAATATAGGGTTCGTCACTTTAATGTCCACTCTGAAAGTCTGGGTGCCCTGTCAGGGAAACAGGAATGACAGAATAGCTGGCTGAGGCTCGGTAGGTCAAATACCTGCCACACAAGCATGGGGACTCCAGTTCAAATCCCCATCACCCGTATACAAAGCCACGCATGGGCTCTACATCCCCACCAATCAGTGGGACAGGAACAGATGCAGGGGGATCCCTGGAGCCCATTGGCCAGCCACCCCACATGAGCTCCATGTTCAGTGAGAGACATTGTCTCTAAAAAAAAGACGTAATCCAGAAAGTAATCCAGGAAGACATCTGACTTCAGCCTCTTGCCTTCACAGTGATGTATATGCATGTGTACCTCACCCCCACCCCCACATGAACATGGAGAGAGAGAGAGAGAGAGAGAGAGAGAGAGAGAGAGAGAGAGAGAGAGAGAGAGAAACAGAGACAGAGACAGACAGAGAGAAAGAACCAACCATTTGTGAAAAGTATGCAATGTGTCTTCCAGAAAGGAAAAAAAATCCCTTAAAATGGCTTTTTAGAACTAATGATTCCAGCAAATATTCCTTGAATGAAATGCACCAGGCAATAGAAGAAGGCTTCGCCTGTCTAGCCTCTTGGTCCGCCTATTCTGGGCACTATTATGACCCCAGCTTCGTAAACACAGAAGGAAACAAACTCTAGAGAGCGTGAGTTTTTCTCAAGCTCACTCTAAGAAGGAAGACTTGAACTTGGCTTGAGTCCTGAGGAGCAGACTCACTACAGATCTGAGGACCCAGTCCATCCTCGGAGTCACCCTCCCTGCTTCTCAGTCACCTCCCAAATGAGTCTTGCCACCCATCTCTCCAGTTTTCTCAGAGGTTGTTCTACAGAATGCAAGCCGAGATTGACTTCCAGGGTCTCTTCAGCCACACGAATGCACAGAGGCACACCACTCTAAAACACTTCATCTCTGCTTAGGAAAACTTGGGACACAGAGCGGAGATGGGAAGGTGTGGCCCAGTAACGATGAGAATGGGCCAGGGCTGCCTGTATATGCCTGGAAGACAGAACCCACACCAGAGAAGAGAGAGCACAGGGATGGTACCAACACACACTTGTACACGTCCACATATCCCCTCCCAAACCTGCCCCTGAGATGGTGCTAAGCAGTGAGAGCCCAGGTACTCTCCACCCGGCAATGAAACCTCCCTCAAAGAAGAAACACAGCAGAAAAGTGTTGCAGAATATTATTTTAAGGTGCATTACTTTTGTTTATGTTGCATTTGTTTAACTCTGTGAAGCTGTGTTACTGTGCCTGTCTAAAACACCTGATGGTCTAAGAAAGAACTGAATGGCCAATAGTGAGGCAGGAGAGAGAAATAGGCGGGGTTGGCAGGTTGAAAGAATAAATAGAAGGAGAACTCTGGGAGGAAAGAAAGAGAGCAGCCAGAGGAGGAGGACTTCAGGGGTCAGCCTCCCAGCTCCACGGCAAGCCAGAGAAAGAGTAAGATTTACAAAAATAAGAGGATGGGAAAAGCCCAGAGGCAAAAGGTAGACGGGATAAGTTAAGTTAAGGAAAGCTGGCTAGAAACTAAGCCAAGCTAAGGCCAGGCAGTCGTAAGTAAGAATAAGCCTCCCTGTGATTTACTTGGTAAATTTACCCAAAAAAGTAAAATACCAAAAACAACAGAAAAGCGTCTCATGCTAGGAATGCACAAAGTCCTGGCCTTGCCACCAGAAGACACACAGTGTGTCTTTCCCCAGTCACCCGTGGTAGGGAAGAGAGTGGGACCAGAGGACAGCAGTGAGCCAAGCTGGAGACAAAGCTGGAAAGGCCAGGATGAACCAGATGAACATAAGCCCGTCTGCGGGCCCAGGGCCCAGGTCCTTATGTGTCAGCCAAGATGGGATCAGAACAGAGGACATCTCTGTCTGGCTCAGGTCTCTGTGTCTCTTGATTACCCATGGTAATTAGGAGCAGAGGAGAACGTGGATAACATAAAATCTCAGCTAATCCCCAATGTTCACTGGAGCCCAGGGTTTATCCTCTCTTCCAGGACTCTTCTCCTTCTTCGTCTTTCCTTTATTTTCATATATTTTTAAAAGCAAAAATGGCCAACCAACATTACAGGATTTGGGTTGGTCTTCCTTTCGTGTTATTTGACTTCCAGAGAAGGAAGATCTGAGAGAAGGGACAGAGGAAGAAGCTGAGGCTCCTGGGTAACCAACATCTAAGCACCTTTGAAAGCCAAGTCATCAGTGACCAATGGGCTGACTTTACTGTGAGCTTTGTGGTGAGAGAAAAAAGGGATTTCATGGTGGGAAGAGCAGATGGAGAGGAGGCAGAGGGGTTGTCAAAGAAGGACTGTATCACTCATGGTTACACACACACACACACACACACACACACACACACACACACATACACACACAAACACACACGATGAGAGGGAGATTTTAAGTACTAGGGTCATGAATTAGGGGGAAGGCAAATCTAAAATATGTATACATGCAAGCCAGTCAGGTAGAAATGCAGGCCAGCAAGATGAGGCAGTCTTGAGTCCCAGATCAATAGGTCATGCCCACAACTCTAAGACACAAAGCAGGGTTTCCATGTGACAGTCTCCAGGCAAAATTCCTCTTCTTGAGGAAACCCCAACCTCTTCACTTAAATCTTGGGACTGATTGCATGAGGCTGGCCCGCATTATGTAGAATAATCTGCTCTAACCAAAAAAGCAACTGTGGATGTTCATGTCACGATAGCTAAATGGTGTTCGGCCAATCGACAGGGGTCAGGATGCCCAGCCAAATGGACGTAGCGAAGGGGGAGCATCATAAGGACTTCAGGAAAGATGTCTTAGGTATAGAAGAACTGAGCAGTCATGAGCCAGATGTGGTAGCACACATCAGTAATCCCACCACAGGGCAGCTATGGAGGGAGCCGGGGAGCTAAGACAGAAAGTTGGAGTTTGAAGCTAGGCGAGGCTACATAATGAGATCCTATCTCAACCAAAATCTGTAGGCTGGAAGGGTGCCCCAGCCAAGGATGCAGTCTCTCTAGATAAAGAGCGTGGTTCTCTAAAGGAGCCACTTTGACCATCCTGACAGAATTGCTCCTGTCCCTTGCACTCGGCCATGAAAGGCAGCAGGATACTAGCAAGGCTAGTGTCCTTGAGAGGAGGACCCAATGCAAGATTCCAGAGAAAAAAAAGGTTCTAGGACTCAGGGGGAGGTCACAATGAAGTGCTGGGGAGTTAGGTGAGCCCAGGCTATGAAATGGTTATATATATATATATATATATATATATATATATTCCTTAGTCTGATACCACATTAGGCCCTGAAAAGGCCAGGAAAATTCTGAGAATTATGTGATCGACCAGGAAGAACTAACCATGATGCGTCAGCCTATCCTCATTCAAGGTCTTTCTCTGTCCCCGAAGCTACCTCTGAGGGCTCTTCCCTGGAGGGAGGCTGAGGCACAGCACTGCTCCTACTGAGATTCTGTGCCCCTTACCCTTTGTACCCCACCAATTGTAAGTGCTAAGGGAGCCAGGACTCCATCATATCTTTCCTGCCCACCACTTCACCACCCCATCTCTGGTTTGCTCCTCACTCAGGGAACCATGGACTCTCACGGAGGAAGACTCCATGAAGGACATTGGGTCTGAAGATTTTGTTCCAGCTAATGCTCTAGAGGTGGGGCCCACCCACAGCAGGACAAATGCCAGCCCCGTTGGTTACAAGGACTGCAAGGGCTGGAACTAGAATCTCTGACCCCAGCTCATCCCAGGAAATGTTACACTCAACCCTCAGACCCTCGAGACTGCATTTCTTACGGGGATAACATCAACAACGGGCGATTCAGCCTGAGAAAATGAGAGGTGCTTGCTTATATTTCATTGCAAAAGGAATCATTTTGCTGAGCCAAGAATATTAAGGAAAACACTGGCCTCGTGTCGGCAACAATGACCCTGAAACCTCTTCAAATACCTCCCGCCCATCTCGCCTTTTATCAAAAATGAATAAAATGCTGAACGATAACCCACAATAACAAACCGTACATTTAAAACCATCTTTCTAAGTAACGACGTGAAATTCCAAGGGCGTAAGGAATGGTGTGGCTCCCACCGCAGGTTTCTCCCGATCTGAGAATACTTGGGTGGGTGTCTGGTACTGGGATCGCCAGAGGACTGCCCAGTGGCTGAGGATTTGGTGGAGAGGGGGATTGTGGGAGAAGGACAGAAAGGTAAGCCTGGGTTTTAAGGAGCCAACTTTACTGTTGAAAGGGCTAGTACAGGGACTGGAGGTGTGGGGCTGAGGGGAGGGCCCTGCTGGAGTCATAATCTTTAGGAATGATTTATGGGACATCACTGAGCCACACTTTCTGTTTATTCAGCCACGTGGGGTCTAGGCACCTATGGTTTCAAGCCAATTATGTGAATAGGTTATTTTCTTACTGTGGACTTTGCAATTTTTTCGCAGGAGGGGCTAAGTGCCCCTCAGAGGATCATTTTTCCAAGCACCATTTGCTGAGCTGGCCCCGCCCTTTCACCAAGGGTTTTCCATCACCTCTGTCAGTGAGGGCCACTTGGTCACAGCCAGTTCTCGACTCAATGTATTCGTGTGACTCGGAGCCATCTGGGTGGTTTTGAGAATCCCACAGAGAGGGAGATTCCACACAGTCACTGCTCCCGGGACTGACCATCAGCTAAGAAACAGAAAGGCTCAGAGGAGAGGTCCTGCTGGGCAAGGTAAAAGCAAAACATCACCTACTAACAGGATAAAATCAGCCTCTGGTGTTCAATTCAGTATGGATAGAGGTGGGGAATCAGAAACAGAATTTGCACAAACTTAATAAAGTCATCTCTTCCATTGCAGTAGATTTCCTCATCCCTATCTTTATTTAAAAAAAATCCTCTTTTCTGCATAATCTGCCTCAAGAGGAAGTGAAAAAAATAACATCATCCCTCATTCACACTTGGGAGGGACTTTGGAGAATGCTCTCTGGTGGAGGAGCCCGGATAGGCCAACTAGTTAAGAAAGGGACCCCTTCGGCTCTACCCCAGAGGGAGAAGTTGGGATGTTGTACGATCTCAACTGGGTGGCTGTTTCCCAAAGCCAGAAGGAACTTGGGGCATTCAGATGGAATGCTCCAGGAGCCCGAAGACAGGGTTAAGGAGACCCAGGCTCCCACGGTCCTGTGGCTGAAGCAACAGTATGTATCCACCGCTCCAACTCCCATGCACTTCCCCCAAGCGACTGGCACAGTGGAGGATTTCATAGACATCAGCAGCAGGCAGAATAGAGGCAGTAGGGCATGGCAGTCAAGAACATAGGCTTTTGGGTTCTCCCATGTAGCTCTTGATCTTGGGCGGTCTCAAAGTCCCAGGTTCCTTACCTGTAAAAGGAGAGTAGACCCTACACGTGCCTCACAAGGTGTTTATGAAGAGAAGATATCGTAGTATATGGGACCCAAGTAGCAGCCCAGTGGCAGGGTGCTCACGTAGCATGTGTAAGGCCTTGATTTGGATATCTAACACCACAGAATAAATGTACCACGTTTAACCTGGTACTACAGGAAGGTGAAAGTGGTGGCCGCTGTTATAATTAACTGCTCTAAGGTGGCAGGCAGTATCTTCAGTTACATGTGGAGTATACCTAGTCTTCTTATGCCTGTGTTCAACTCGGCTCCTCAACTGGCCTAGAATGGCTGACCAAGGACCAGGTTATGGGAGCAGTCTGCCCTGGTCCACACAGTGAAGGAGTACGCAGTCTACAGAGGAAATGTGTATGTCTCTTTTTAGTTCTATTTAGATATCTCCACGAGTCTGTCTGCTTTTTATAATAACAACACCACTGACAAAAACATGCATCTCTGCTAGAGTGGAGCACATCACTGCCCCTGCCATGGGTACACTACACCCCAATGACCAGGTCTTTGCTTTAAACGCTCACTGTGCTTTTCCAACGCCCCCCCCCCTCAAGCCTTAGTGCCGATGGGCCTAGAGCCCTGCACGAGCCCTTGGCTAGCTGGGCTCTTGTTTCCTCATTGCAAAGTCGGGGGGTGGTCCTGGAGGCCCCCCAGGTGCTCCCCCCTCTAATAGCCCACACACTTATGGTCAGACAGGAGCAGACACACCTTCCTATGGCTTGGGGGCTAATCCAGATTTAGCTAAACACATGGAAGGGCTGAGTCAAGGGCAAGCCTGCTTGGAGCCTTCAGCCTCTCTCTTGTGCCTCATACTTCTTGAGATCCTGTTATGTGGCCCATGAGCCACCGCTGGCTCGCTGTGCTTCAGGCAGAACTAACATCCCACATCACCAGTGCTGGCAGGGAGCAGCACTCTCCCAGGAGTAAACATGCTCTTAGGATGAATCGTCATGGGTGAGGGGAAATAAGGAAACAGTACAACCAGCCTGTGTAAATAGATTCTCTGGAAAACCTAAAATGGCCATGCATGGCTCGCCATGGTCTGAAGTGGTAAACACCCACTTCCCACACAGACAGATACTGAGCTCCTGGCGAGGTGGGGACAGAAATTCCACAGAGCATATTTCTTCTGGGATGGATTGCCCCGATTTAGCACACGGCCATCTTTCTTCTCAACTTCCCCGCAAAGCACCACTGACTCACACCACCCATCTCTACTGACTCATGCCACAAAGCCAAGAGAGATAACCTTTCCCCCGAAAGGACTAAGAAAGACTTCACGGTCGTTCTTCAGCGACAAGGACCAAGAAATAGTAGCCCGTCCCTTCCCTTTTTTTTTTTTTTCTTGGTAATTTCACTGACCCTGACCTGCAGGCTCTGTACTAGAAGGACCAAATGATAGAAAATTCAAGTTCAAGCAAGAGAGGAAGAATGGATGACAGATAAAGGGGAGGGGTGAAAGAGAGGGGTTTTTATTTGTAAAAATTAAGTATTCCTTATTCCTTCCTCCTCCCAAAATACTAACATTGTATATGTGTGTTGATAAACTTCACAGCCTGATTACTTGCAATGTCATTTATAAACACATAATAAAGGCTCCCAGACTAAAGTTAAAGTCACCGCTGACTTTCAGAAACTTGGAATGAACCAATTACACTACCTAGGCAGGCTCTTTGATTACAGCTTACTACCAACTGATGACAAAAGGAAAATATTGAGACATGGTTTTGCTATGGAACATCAAAGTGCATATGAATTCACTTCTAGAAACAAAACTTTCGCTGGTAGAGGGAGTCCCAAAGACTGAATTCTGGGGCTAGACACCTCCCATCCCAACATTACAAGAAGCACACAATGGGATAAGGGGGTAACAGAGTCACGTGACCAAGAAAGTCAATGTTAAAGCAAGGTCAAGCTGGACTGTAGACCTGGCTCTCAGGCCTCCAATAATAATCGTCTTTCCTCTCAACATAGAAAGGGCAAAGCCTTTGCTGCCAGGGTAAGCCCTGGGAAAGGCCATCTGGCCCCATCCTCATCTCAGTTCTATTGGCCACGATTGACCAAAGTATCTTCCTGATCCCAAAGGGCAGGCAGCCTAGAAGGCCAGTAACAGGATGTGTTTGCATATAGATATTTTAAATGCACACAAGCCCAGGCCCGTCCCAGTTGCTAACGCTGGTAGATTACTCATTCTTCCTCCCAATCACGTCATGTGTGAGATGCCAGGTGGCTGTGGGATATTTGCTTACAAACGGCTACCACTGGTTTCCTTGCAAGCTGTTTATTTTTCCAGCCTCAGGTCATTACATCAGCCCACGGTTTCCAGTTGGGCAAAGAGTATAGACTTGTGGGGGTGGGGATCCAGCCAGGAGGTGCCATTGCCTCTGTGACCCCAAACCCCCGTCACAGAAGCTCTCGCAGCAGGAACTTCCTGGGTGGAAAAGCAATCTCAACTGTAGCCAGTGGCCCAGAAGCTGGCCTACAAGAAAAACGTGCCCAAACGAGTAAGGGCAAGAATACTGTGAACCGGCCTACCTGTGACATGTGTACAAACACAGATGTTCTCATGCAAGAAGAAATGGGAATCTTGTTTCAGTGCAAAATGTGGAAAAGATGTGTTTCCACTTGGGGTTCCTAATGGTAGCTCTGTCTCCAGGGAACAGAGAGATGCTTCATCCACAGATACATACATGCTGGTCATAGAGGCAAGGGGGGGAAGGCTTTAGGATTTAACTCATGGGGCCAGGTTCTGGGTCCTCCTTGCAGCCCCTGATCACACCATGAAAGAGTTTTGTAGGAGAGACAAGAAGAAAGGAAATGAAAAGACACTAGCCTAGGCTTCCAGGGCAAAAGGAAACATGTCGCGGCCCTGGAGCGTTGCCATGGCACACAAAGAGCGTGGTGGCCACATCCATGACCCCAGTTCCTGAGAGACAGCACTTTCTCAGAAGAGGAAGCACAGCATTTTGCCATACAGAAACAAAAAGACAGAAATCATAAAAAGATTTTTATGAAGTATCTTCATACAGTCAGCTTAGAACCAGGGAGTGAAAATGGTCAAATAAGGCTAATTCTTGTCATTTATCTTATCTCTTTCCCTTCTTCTATATAGAGATGGCTTGAACATATTTTAAATGTCAAGTATTTTAAGGAATGTCATGATTCCTAACTCTAGATAAAAAAAAAAAAAAAAAAAAAAAAAAAAAAAAAAAAAAACCTCAGCAAGAGTTCCCATTTCCTTGAAGAGGCAGCAGAGTCTCTGGCCAACACTCATCTAGGACACGCTGCTCCCAAGGTCTGGGGTGTTAGCTGGCTAGAAGCATCCTCTTCCCAGATACAGGAAGAGTTTCTGGAGCCACAGATGCCTGTTAAGTGAGGTATGAGGGAGGCAGTCATGGAAGGGAGAACCAGAAAGGTGAATCTGGATATGCCGAACTTGCCAAGGACTCAAAAGGCCACAGCAGCCATATGAGCGCATGGCAAAGCTTTCCAGAAAGAGCCAGACCCTCCAGGAGGGGAGAAGCCTGGATACGTCTGCAGGCGCGTGTGTCCTGTTATTGCACAACTTCAGGCACCCTGTGGAACCTTGCCAACGTCAACAGTCCCCAGGCCAGAAAACAAACCTGGCGTCCCAGGGTCTGAGTGTGAAAAAAGGATGTTTTGGGGTGTAAGAGAAACTGCAATTGCCTTTTCCCCCCTCTGGGAGAAGGCTGAGAAGATGAGCTCTCACCCAGGCATACTTCACAGAGTCTGACTCCAACCTCCCTGTGCATGTGGCTGAAGATCATCTGAACCCAGAATCTTCCATCAAAACTCTAATAAAAAATGATCTCAGGTGCTTAACTCTGAGGTTCCAGTCCTCACGAAGAGCAAATGGACCAGATGCAAGTTCTCATCTAAGGATGTCTGATTGGTCGTTAACTGGATGTGCCAACATGTGAGCATGGGTAGCATAGTGCAAAAAGGCGCTCCAGCGAAGCAGCTTTGCTTTATTTTGTTTTTAAGTTATTTACGGTAAACCTATGTGCCCAGAATTACAAGTCTAAAACCGAAGCCTCACAAAATCCTAAAGGGCAATAACTTTTTTACATATAAGGACGGCAAGACTCAGCGAAGTTGATTGGCTTTCCAAGGCAAGAAAAGGCAGCCTAGGAAACCAGGTCTACATGTCCATCTGATTCCAACGCCCATGCTTCGACCAGTATGTGGCTTGTGTATAAAAGATTCTCTACCCCGCTGCCTGAAAATCCAGACATCCTGAAGCTTCCTTGGCAACTGGTTGTGATAGCATGCACCGGAACCGAATGGTAAAAGCTTGAGAACGGTCCGTGTGAGGTGATGAGTCTTGTGAGGGGCCCCAGGAGTTCCTGTGACGGTACAAGCTGACCTGGAACATCATGAAACTTCTCAGGAGCCACAGCTCCTGCTTCTGCTTGCTCTATGAAGGGGCCAAAAAAATTTGAGTGAGACAACCCCATGCACACACCTCCCACTCAAATGCCATATTCAACTGTGTATACCAGGGGCCAGAAAAATTTCTCTGTGGATCATAAAGTAAGTATCTTAAGCTTTACAGGCCATACAGACTCTGTGATAGCTATTTGGGCCTATTCTCGTGGGTGAAAATGGTCAAAAACAACAGTGTAGCTGTGTCCCAATAAAACTTTATCTGCAAAAACAGTCAGGTGGCTACTTGTTATCTGCTAAATACTCTTGCAGAACCATGTCTTTTATACCTGATTCCATCAATAATATTGACAGGTATCTGTCAGTATGGCCAGATGATAATGACAGAGAATATTCTAGTCTGTTAAGTGATTACTAAAACCAAAGCCTAATAATTTTCTTTGATGTATTTCCTCTAAAGAACAACTAGCTCTCCTGCAACTAGCCTGTCCTACATACTAACCTTATAGAGTCAACAACTATGGAAAATAAAGGTGGCTGGGTCACCTCAACAAGAGGAAGATAGTTGTACTTGCCTAGAAGCAATTTCTCAACATGGCCCTATGATCATACAATAAAAAACTACATAAACCCGTAGGGGTGGTAACCAGAACTCGACACCATTACTTTATTACACTCAGAGAACACACTTCAGAAAGATACGTGTCACTAGCCTCCTCCAATCTAGCCACAAGAAGCACTGTCATTGGTTAAGTATGGTGGCACACATCTGCACTCTTAGCACTCAGGAAGTTGAGGCAAGAAGACTCTGAGTTCCAGGTTTCCCTGGCTATATATCAAGGCACTATCCCAAAAAATCAAGAGCTGAATATATGTATCAGTGGTAGAATGTCGCATGCACAGGGTCACAGCATGCACAGGGTCACAGCATGCACAGGGTCATAGCATGCACAAGGTCATAGCATGCACAAGGTCATAGCATGCACAGGATCATAGCATGCACAGGGTCATAGCATGCACAGG